AAGGATTTTTGTTTTCTTTACATTGAGATGTAATCCATACCTGTGCTCTTTGATCTTCATCAGTGAATGTTTTAAGTTCTCTTCACTTTCAGAAAGCAAGGTTGTATCATCTGCATATCACAGGTTGTTAATGGGTCTTCCTCCAATCCTGATGCCACATTTTTCTTCATAGAATCCAACTTCTTGTATTATTTGCTCAGCATACAGGTTGAATAAGTATGGTGAAAGAATATAACCTTGTCGCACACCTTTTTAAATTTTAAAACATTCAGTGTTCCCATGTTCTATTCAAATAATTGCTCCTTGGTCCAGGTACAGATTCCTCATGAGCACAATTAAGTGTTCTGGAATACTCATACTTTGCAATGTTGTCCATAGTTTGTCATGATCCACACAATAGAAAGCCTTTGTGTAGTCAATAAAGCACAGGTAAACATCTTTCTGATAGTCTCTGCTTTCAGCCAAGATCCATCGGACATCAGCAATGATATCCCTCGTTCCACGGCCTCTTCTGAATCTGGCTTGAACCTCTGGAAGTTCTCTGACAATGTATGCTTGCAGCCGTTTCTGTATTACTTTTAGCAAAATTTTACTCGCTTGAGATATCAAAGAGATTGTCCGAAGATTTCTACATTCCACTGGGTCACCTCTCTTTGGAATGGGCACAAATATGGATATCTTTCAATCAGTCGTCCAGATAGTTGTCTTCCAAATTTCTTGACAGAGATGAGTGAGTGCCTCCTGTGCCGCCTCACTCTCTTGAAAGATTTCGATTCTTATTTCATCAATTCCTGGTGCCTTGTTCTTTGCCAAGTCCTTCGATGCACCTTGGACTTCCTCCTTCAGTATCATTGGCTCTTGATCATATGCTACCTCTTGAAACAGTTGAACATTAACCATTTCCTTTTGGTACAGTGATTCTGCATATTCCTTCCATCTTCTCTTGATGCTTTATGCATCATTCAATAATTTGCCCAGAGAATCTTTCAATAATGAAAGTTGAGGCTTGAATTTTGTCTTCAGTTCCCCCATCTTGAGAAATGCTGAGCGTGTTCTTCCTTTTTGGTTTTCTGATTCCAGATCTTGCACATTTTGTTGTAATATTTTGCTTTATTTTCTTGAGCTGATCTTTGAAATTTTCTGTTCAGTTCTTGGACCTCCTCATTTCTTCCATTTGCTTTAGTATCTCTACACTGGAGAGCAAATTTCAGTGTCTCTTCTGACATCCATTTTGACCTCTTCCTTCTTTCTTGTCTTCTTATAGACTTTTTGCTTTCTTCTATATGATATTCTTGATGTCATCCCACAACTCTTCTGGTCTTTGGTCTTTAGTGTTCAATGTATCAAATCTGTTCTTCAGATGATCTCTAAATTCAGGTGGGATATATTCAAAGTCCTATTTGGGCTCTCGTGGGCTTGTTTTCATTTTCTTCAGCGTCAGTTTGAATTTGCTTATGAGTAATTGATGGACTGTTCCACAGTCTGTCCCTGGCCTTGTTTTGACTGATGATATGAAGCTTTTCCATCGTCTCTTTCTGCAGATGTAGTCAATTTGATTTCTATGTATTCCATCTGGTGAGGTCCATGTGTATAGTTGTCTCTTTTGCTGTCTAAAGAAGGTATTTGAAATGAATAAATCATTGATTTTGCAGAATCCAGCATCATTTCTTTCACAAAGGCCATATTTTCCAACCACTGATCCTTCCTCTTTGCTACCAACCCCTGTATTCCAATCACGAGTAATGAGCAATACATCTTTGATCGATTTTAGATTGAAGAAGTTGGTAGAATTCTTCTATTTCATCCTCACTGGCTTTAGTGGTTGGTGCATAAATTTGAATAATAGTGGTATTAACTGGTTTTCCTTGTAGGTGCATGGATATTATCCTACCACAGACAGTGTTGTATCTCATGACTGATCTGGATATGTTCTTTTTTGACAATGAATGCACCACCACTCCTCTTCAATTTGTCATTCCCGGCATAGTAAGCCATGTGGTTGTCAGATTCAAAATGGTCCACTTATAGGGTTTCTGAGGCTTTAAATCTTCATGGGAGCAGAAAGCCTCATCTTTCTGTGGCAGAGTGGTTGGCACACTCAAACCAGAGATCTTGTAGTTCCATCCAGTGCTTATCATATGGAGCAGAGAGGAGGAAAAATGTCCACCAGAAATGCTAACCCTGGGCCTGCGTCACGCTCGAGGCTGGATGAATTTAAAATACCTATATCACTATGAGTCAACAATATGGCATGAGGAATCCTGGTGTTGCACTGCAGGATGCCCACTGGATCATAAGGTCAGTTTGGACCACAAGGTTGGCAATTCAAACTCACCAATCACTCCCCGGAAATGCTATACAGGGTCACTATGAGTCAGAACTCATTCAACAGCACTTAACAATAACAATATGGCATGATGGTGCTATGTGTTAGGCGTTGAGCTGCTAATTATAAAGTAGTTCAAACCCTCCAGACTCTCTGCAGAAGAAGATGAGGCTGCCTGCTCCCATAGAGATTTACAGTCTCAGAAATCCAATGTAGAGTCAGAATATATTTGATGGCAACAGGTTTTGGGTTTGGTTACATGGCATAGAGGAATTAACCGTAAAACTAGCTAGGATCATTAAAATTCCTAGTCTCTGGCAGCAATAGAAATGAAAACACATTGTATAAGGATACATACACCACAAGGTATAAAAGACTTCATGAAAAGAGGGGGGAAAAGCCATCTTCAAAGAATTATAAAGCATACAAGGAGATACATTCTAATGAAAGAGGGTCAGCACATAAAGTTAGCAAAATATCTGCCCATCCTCCTTCTGGAAAAAGTAGAACAATCCAAAAGAAACCATAATACTTATTTTATGGTTTCTTTTGGATTGTTGTACAATGACTAAAATTTTTAAAAGCCACATCAAAATATCAGAACATTTAAAATATTCTGATATAGAAAAATGAACTGAAAGGAAGATCTAGAAACTAAAAATAATTTAAAAAACTAAGTAGCTAATATTTTTAAAAAGCAGATTAGACATAGATGAGATTTACTGGAAGATAGGGCAGCAACCAAAATGCAACAAGAAAAAAAAAGAAAAGTAAACATAAAGGTGCAACTGAGAGACATGGAGGACAAAACTCTAATAGTTCAAAAGGGAAGGACAGAAGGAATGGGAGAAGGGAATCCATCAGATAATGGCTAAATTTTTTTGAAAAATGAAGAAAGACATGAGAAGCACAACAAATTCTAAATAGGATGAATAAAAATTTAATCCACATCTTGATTTGGGTTAGCAAAACTTCAGAACATCAAAACAAACTTAAAAGCAACCAGAGAGAAGAAATTACCTTAAAAAAGAATAACTTAGCTGACAAGATTTCTAATCAGCAGAAATGTAAGTCAGGCTATGAAACAATGGTATGGTGAAATGAGTTCCTTCAGGTAGCCTTTTGCTTTGGTTCACTGGAAAATTTGCCGTAGCTTTTCTACGCTAGGGGATTTGTTGAGGTTTTGTCCAAGATGAGTAATATTTCCTGAGTAAACTATATACAATTTAGTAGTATGATACATTTTGTCCTGTCCAGGACTGTATGCTATCATGATTGTTTTGCATCTAGCAGACTACAGAAATGAGGTGACTATAGTCTACCATGCAAATGAAGTATAGGAGGGGATTGGTCAGTTTGTGCTTTCCCTTCTCCCTCACTGGGAGGGTCCATACCTTGATATTGACAAGGAGTTGTGTATATGTGTAGTGAACTCCACAGAGGTGTTTTAGACAGAAACAGTATGAAGAAAGAGAGACAAGTGTAAAGAAGACTAGAGAGGAGCCAAGGAATCTCCTAGAAGAGTTGTAACATGGGACAAGACTGTAACACTGAAGACATCAAGAGCCCCAGAAAGGGCCCAGTGGCAGGGTCAGTGGTGACAGATGGTAGGGCACAGAGGAGCCCAAGTTGTACCCCATTACTTCCTTAATACACAACTTAGCTTAAGTATAGTCTGTGAGGCCACCGCATTGGAGATTATCAAACTCACAAGAGTAGAAACTGCCATGGAGGAGACAGCTGGTGTCAGAATTGGTAAAAGGTAGGAGAGTAGGTATGTCTGAGCTCTACCTCACAGGGACCAGTGTTGAGCTGATCTTCATTTGCATCATCCCCGCTGAAGATAGGCAAGTTCTGATGATGCTACTACTATCACTGCTCCTACCATCTTACAAATGGCTCCATAGAACTGAAGAGAAATAACTGTCAATGTAGCTAACTATTATTACTTCCTCTTTGTTTTTGACCTGAGAGAAGTATACCTGCAGAATAAAGACTTGCTCAGAACTAGCTGGGATCAGCAAAGGCCAGCAACATTTGGGAAGACATTTAATGTAGTGGGAACTACACCTGGGTTTCTGAAATGTGAAAAGGAACAGATGAACTAAACGTGAGGCTCCAAAGGCTTTTTGCCTGGACACTGTATTTCCAAGCATAGCTTAAGTGAACTCTAGAGCTATATCACAGTAATTAAAACAGAAGTCTTTGGAAATAGGCTGAGTTCAAGTCTTGGCTCTGCTTCTTATGAGCTGAGTGACTTTGGCCAACTCACTTTACTTCTCTGTGCCTTACTTTCTACACTAGATCACGCAGGTTAAAAAATATTAAATAAGCAGACTTGTGAAAGATTCAACATACTACTTGATACAGAGTAGGTGACACTTGACTGCTAACCATAAGGTTGGTTAGCAGTTTGAATCGACTCAGACAGAAATTAACAACAACACTTGCAATTTGTCTTGGCTAGGGTACTATACTTTGATCATAAAGGAGCTGTGTGGCATTGCAGAACAAGCACTGGATTAGTAACTGCAAGGTTGGCAGTTCAAACCCACCAGCTGCTCCTTGGAAACCCTATATAGATTTGCTATGAGTCAGAACCAATTCAATGGCACTTAGAACATGACTATCTTTAATATGATTATTGGATAACCAGAATATAAGAGGCACATACTCTGACATCCACTGAGCAGCCCACAGTCCATGATGGATTTCCCAGCACTTGATTTTGGCATAAGAGATGAACTAGTGAAGATTTCCCAACACCTGTAAAAGATAAAGAACTCTGCTCAATATAAGAGGTATGCTTGAAATCTATTCTGGCATGACTAAAACAATGTATTTAATAACAATGATATGCAAGGCATGGCTATTTAAACTGTACCAACAATTCAATAAATTTTATTGAATAAAGTGAAAAAGATGGTCTAGGTCAATAGTTGTCAACTTTAGCCTGTATCAGAATCACTTGGAGGGTTAAAACAAATTGTTGGTTCTAACCCCACAGAACTTCTGATTCAGCAGGTCTGTGGTGGGAACCAAGATTTTGCATTTCTAACAAGTTCCTAGGTAATGTTGATGCTACGGATTCAGAGGTCTCATTTTGAAAACAACTGGTCAAATGGAATTTTATGTAAACTAAAGCCTTTCCTTTGGAATGATGTCATCTACTTAGCCTAAGTTAGAATTCTAACATCTGAAGAGATCTTAGAGGTAATTTCCTCCATTCTGCATACCAACCCAGAAATCCCTTTCATAGCCCTATTAAAGTCTTCTAGGTTGTTCTTGAACATTGTCAATAACAGGGATTCACTATTTTAGAATTTCTTATTAACACATGCATCTGGTAGCGTAGTGGTTACGAATCGGGCTGCGAACCTTAAGGTCAGCGGTTCGAAACTACCAGCTGCTCCACGGGAGAAAGATGAGGCTTTCTACTCCCGTAAAGATTTACACCCTTGGAAACCCTGTACAGGGTCGCTATGGGTCGGAACTGACTCGACGGCACTTAACAACATTAACACATGCAAGTTTTCTCAAATACTCGTAGTGATTTTTAAAATATCAGCCAAGCCCTTGGCCCAGATCTTCCTTTGGAAAAAGAGAACAACTCTACTCCCTCTTTTACATTCTGGGCTTTTTGCTTTAAGACAGCACATTATCTTCTTTTAGATCTTCTGGGCTCAGGAAAGTCTAAATGGTAGCATTCTGCAATGTGTATCAAAGGGGCAAGAGAATGCCTCTCCTCCTACACTTGTGTGAGGAGTCACTCATTCATTTAACATTTTAGGAATGTCACATGCATCGCTAGTTGTGGCTAGCTATAGTTTAGAACATCTCTTGGTGCTCAATGAGTATGAACATTTTATTTACGTTTATGTTTATTATAAAAAAGTTTTTATCTTTTATTTTAGGGCTGGAAGTTGACTTTTAATAAGAAAGCACACTGGGGATAGGTCAGAGCAGGTGGAGCTGAATTGTCTGGTGTGGGGCAGAGGTGGTGCTGGGAAGGCCAGGATGGCTACATAAACTGCTGCTGCTGCTTCTTGGTGGCTGCCTTGTTGCCTAGGTCCTTGGCCTTTTCTGTAGCTGCTGCCAGTGCCGTCTCCTTTGCCTTTTCCTTGGCAGTTTCAACAAGTATTTTGGAAGGGGCCTCACCTTGCAGCTTGGCCAAGATATAGTCAAAACCCTTCATAGTCTTGGTCACTTTTTTAAAAAAACTGGGCCAGACCAAATTCCTGGACAGCTCTGGAGACGCCAAACAAGCTTGAGGAGACTCAGGCTTGCTGGTGAATTTTGGTCTAGCCACTGTTACCCCCAGGATCGGACATTGTTTCGTTCTGTTGTGCATGGGTTCGCTATGAGTTGGTTCCAACTCAATAGCACCTGATAACAACAACTGTTACCAGAGCATAGTGGTTACGAATCGGGCTGCGAACTGCAAGGTCAGCAGTTCAATACTACAAGCTGTTCCGTGGGAGAAAGAGGAGGCTTTCTGCTCCCGTAAAGATTTACAGCCTCGGAAACCCTGTACAGGATCACTATGAGTCAGCACCGACTCCACGGCACATAACCACCACCACCACCACTATTACCAGAGTTCACACAGTAAACACAGTATTCCTCTCCCACCATCAGCCGGGCGTGTTTGATGTTCCAGGTGAAGGTGGTCATGGTCTGATTTTGTGGGTCCACAGTAAGAGTCCTCCAGAATATACACTGAGTGAACAACATTGGGAGGAAACAGTCGCTCGGCCCAGTGGGGCATCCTGCTGGTCTTTGGTCAGAAGTCGCTGAGGCAGGAGCTTCTGGTCAGGGGTCACCTCCCAGTCAAGACATGTTTGCTGTAGGGGTTCAGATACCACTGCCAGAAGGCAGCAAACACTTGGTCCCAGAACTCCAGAGCACACTCTGGCCCAGGAAATACTCCACCATCGTCCCTACAGGGGAAGAATCAGCACTCGTGCAGCATTAGTGGTGCAGAGCCCAGGGGCACACGGAGGCAGGGCCAGGGGTCAGCACACGTCCGCCAGGCTCGCAGCTCAGTGAATGCCACACTGCGTCCAACCAGCCACCGTTGCCATGAGAAGTGGTCCTAAAAAGTTTTATTAAAAGAAAAATCTAAAAGACATTTATATTGTCTAAAAGCAAACAATCACCTGAAGACCATTATAGTGTAGGTTTAACTACTTTCATAAGCAGAGCTTTTATATTAAAATGTTATCATGGAGTCCTGCTGTGGCATCTTAGGGTAAGCACTATACCTCAAAGTCGGTTTGAACCACAAGGTCACAGGTTCCAACTCTCCAGCCAATTCTCGGAAACCCTACACAGGATCACTGTGAATCGGAACTGACTCGATGGCATATAACAACACGGTAGTCATATATATGCTGTGCTTAAAGATGACATAGTATGGAAATAATTTAAGTCATTGAATTGTACATGTGAAGGTTACTGAAGAGATGAATATTTTGTTTCATATATACTTACCACAATATAAATTTTAAAAATATATAAATAACATAAGCCTTTGTTTACACAGTTGTTCTGTCTGGAATATCATACTGTCTCCCACTGGCCTGCTGAATTAATTTTTCAAGACACAGTATGACTATAGTTGTGAAATGTTTTTACTCCACCCAGGTAGAACGAAGCACACCATCCTCTAAGGTCTCCATTGTATTGTGTTTCCTACAGAGCACTTAAATCATTATAATTGCTTGTTTATAGGTTTTATTTACTGTTTAATTTTAAGCTCTTTGGGGTTTTGGGCTATTTCACCATCTTTTTAACTCCAATACTCAGAATGGGGTTTTAATCAGTATTTATAGGTATGCATCGCTTAATGTCCACAATGTTGTTGTTAACTGCTGTCAAGTCAGTTCCCACTCATAGCAACCCTGTGTAGGGTTTCCAAGGAGTGGTTGGTAGATTTGAACTGCTGACCTTGTGGTTAGAAGTCCAGTGTTTATCCTATAGTGCCACACCAGGACTCCAATGTTCATGTTGTTATTGTTGTCATGTGCTGTGGAGTCACTTCCGACTCATAGTGACCCTACACAGGGTTTCCGAGGCTGTAAGTCTTTATGGGAGTAGAAAGCCTCATTTTTCTCCCGTGGAACAGCTGGTAGTTTCAAACTGCTGACCTTGCGGTTCGCAGCCTGATTTCATAACCACTACGCTACCATAGCTCCTTAATGTTCACAATACATGATATGAAATTGGACATCATGTGATTTAAATGTTGGGCAAACACCATATTAAAACTTTATGGGCACCTGTTTCCAGTTGTCCTGGCTGCAGCTGCTGCTGGAGCTGCTAGCAGAGGCCAGAGGAGCACGTGCCTGACACTGTTGGAGGCTGAAAGGGTGGCAATGGGGCAGAGGAAGAGGAAGTGAGAAGTGAGAAGGGAGCAGAGCCCAGTCCAGTCTGTTGTTTCACCCACCTGAGCAGCAGAAGCAGCTGGGGCCTTGGGTTCCCATATCCCTCACTACTGCCACTTATCTGCCTGCCTTGCCCGATAGACAACGCCTGAGGGCATGTGCCCAGAGCCATGCCTTCTGCCTCTTTGCCTGTATCCCACTTGTGGTCCAGTGCTGTAAGAGTCTGGGTTGGGAGTGTTTGAAACCATTATGAGGAAATAGTAAACGAAAGAAGAGCTGCTTTCCCTGTACAAACAAACCAACCAAACTTATGGGAGCAGAGACTTGTAAGCTGCTCTAGTAACATAGTGGTTCTGAATCAGGCTATTAATATCACTGTCAGCAGTTCAAAACTACCAGCTGTTCCATGGGAGAAAGATGAGACTTTCTGCTCCTATAAAGATTTACTGCATCAAAAACCCTGTACAGGGTCACTGAGTCGGAATCGACTCCTGGGCACATAACAACAACAACAAATACTTATATTCAGTGAATAAATTTTTCCATGTTGTTGCAGAATCTTCATGAACATTTTTAATGTCTCAACAGTATTTCAAATGTGAGTAGACATATAATTTACTTAATCATCCATTCCCTCATTAGTAGATATTTAGGTTTTTGTTTTTTAAAAAATATATCACTATCCTAAGAAAGACTTTTTCTTCTGCTTAAATTTTTGTTTAAAATTAGAATTATTTTTGTAGTCTACCTCTCCAGGAGTGAAATTTAAAAGGAAATAAACATACAAAGTTCTTGTTACACTAACTTGACAAACATCTGCTCCTGTCCACAGGAGCATGTACATTTGTTGCATTTCAACATTATGTGACTGCTTTTTCATCTTTGTTAACTGGATTAGGAAAAAAAAGAAGCAACATCTTATTTTAGTATGCCTTTCTTTACTTTCTGGTAAAAATTATTTTTGTTCATCTTTGCTACTCAGTGTCTTTCCACCTTAGTGAATTCTAATTCTCTGCTGATGTGTTCTGCCCATAAAGCTTTAATTTGACCAATTTATATAATCTCTTTATGTACTAGAGATATTAACTCTCCCAGGTAACTGAATCAAACATTTCCCAAGGTATCCTTTTTATTTATTTATTTTACATACAGACAGTTAAGAGTTTTGAGTACTCAAACTTAGCTTTGCTCTAGTATTTATTGCATTGCAGCTGATATTCAAAACCTTATAGAATACATTGTTTTTTATTTGCATATGTTGTTTTTGTTATTAATTATCATCAAGTCAGTTCCGACTCACAGCAAGCCTGTATAGGGTTTCCAAGGAGTGGCTGCTGAGTTTGAACCACTAACCATATAGTTCAAACCAACCTTGTGGTTCAGTGCTTTAGCCGATAGTGCCTTGTAGATTGTATATTGGAGGCACATAGCTGGACATTTCATTATCAGCTTGATATAAGGATTGAGCTTCTAGTTTTGCTTAACTGTGTTGGGTAAATGTTTCTTGGATGTAATATTTTTCTGATTTGAACTAAATTAGATCAAAAGAATGCATTACATTTGCTGGGGAGATAAAAAGAACCAAAATAATTAAATAAATGCCAGCTGCAAATGTAGCTGTAGGTAATGTATTAAATATTACCCCTTATCTTTGACAGAACAAAGAGAAAGTCATATGTATGTATTAGTGAGATTTTTCAAATATCTAAATTATCAAATTTCTCTACAGGGTACAAAGCAAGTCTCTAAATTCCAAGTTATTCCTTTATATACTTGTGAAATCTTCAAAATTTTCAGGGGCTGGGTGAGGGGGGTAGGGGCGGTGCAGAAGAGGAGATAAATCTCTATTAAAAAATAAATTTAGAAGTTTAAATACAAAGGCAGATGTGGTGCTGTGGGATAATGTACTGGACCACAAGGTCAGCAGTTCAAATTTACCAGCCGCTCCTCAGAAACCCAATACAGGGTGACTAGGAGGTAGATCCAACTAGATGGCACTTAACAACAACAACGTGTCAGATAGCAAGTCACTGTTAAAAGAGAACTGACAAAGGCAACAACATACTCTGCACATGCAGCCTAACATTAGTGAATGTGTGACAAGAGCAAATCACTTTCTTGGTATGCAAGGCTGTGTCTTATGTTTTTCAGTTAAACCATGCTGAAGAAAAAACACACTAATTGACTCATTACTTTCCCACCTTTTATGCAGTATACAATTCAATCCCTGGTATGTAATTCATTGCCGTCACAGTTCAAACTTTGCACCTATATAAACCTGGAATGTAATACACCCTTAAAGGAGCTCTGGTAGCGTAGTAGTAACGAATCAGGCTGCTAGTCTCACAGTCAGCAGTTAGAAACTACCAGCTGTTCCACGGGAGAAAGATGAGGCTTTCTGTTCCCGTAAAGATTTACAGCCTTGGGAACCCTGTATAGTGTCGCTATGAGTCAGAATTGACTCCACGGCACATAACAACAACAGCAATATGCCCTTAAATATTAGAAATCAATCTGTAGTTTTAACAGTATTTAACATGAAGAATTTATTAGATGTGATAGAGAGTAAAATTGAGACTAGAAAGAACACCCTCATTACTCATCATGAAGAACTGATACCAGTAGCTCTGGATTACAGACTTAAATACTATTTGATGATGCTTTTGCTAAGTCTCTTCATACAATTACTTTCTTCAACTGTACAAATGGAGCCATTCTATTAACTTAACTCCAATACTACTTTAAAGTTCTGTGAAGACCCGGAGTTGACATAAATTTTCACAGAATTTCATAGTGCAGCTTTTTAAGGGGCGTATAAGATGATGCTCTCTGTAAAACACTGTACAACGCAAAAAAATCTTCAGATAAAGTGCAAACATTCCCCCCACCTCCAATTTTATATAGTTTCTGGAAGGCCAGTTTCACTTTCCACCTGTAAGCATCTGGCAGTGTTTGCTCACAGCACACAGGTAAAAGGTCAACTTCAGAAACAACTAGGAAATGCAAGGTTGGCATTTTCACCAAGTTATTAAGGCATATGAAACTAGGAGTTACAGTGTTGAAGAAATAAGAGTGAGGTAGAAGGGAGAAATGCAGACTTCAAGTCTAGTTTTCGAAAGGTTAATATGTCAAAAGTGTTTTAGTGTTAGGGTTAAATTAAGTTTACCGCCAAGTCTTAGCGGTTTCAGAATATGACCTTTTTATCTTAATTTCCCCATTACTCACAACCAAGCACACAATAGATTTTCAATTAAGAAAAAAATGAGAACAAGGATTCCCGAGGCCTAGGGTCGGAACCGACTCGACGGCACTTAACAACAACCACGAAGACCGAAAGGTTTGAACCACAAGGTCGGCGGTTCAAACACACCAGTCGCTCACTGGAAACCCTATACAGGGTCCCTATGAGTCGGAACTGACTGGACACTTAACAACAACACAACAAAGAGTGATAGCAGAAGGACCCACCCGATATTTCATTTCATAGTACAGCTTGGCGTTTAAGAGCATTGACTTTGGAGTTTAAACCAATTCAGTATTTGAAGAAAAGAGGAAAATACAGCCATCTACATATTTTGCTACATATATCTATTTACATCTCTCTGCCTCACTTTTCTTATCTGTAAAACGAGATAAAAGATTTTTTTCGGTATTAAATAAGTTAATACTGAATATGCAAAGCACTTGCAAGAGCGTTCTTCTTAGTGCCGGGAAGACATGATAGTACTAATTTCCTTATAATACTCATTGCCTGCATACATTTTAAAACAAAGATTGTTGTTGTGTGCCGTGGAGTCGGTTCCGACTCATAGTGACCCTGTACAGGGTTTCCGAGGCTGTAGCGTAGTGGTTACGAATCGGGCTGTGAACCGCAAGGTCAGCGGTTCGAAACTACCAGCTGTTCCACGGGAGAAAGATGAGGCATTCTGCTCCCGTAAAGATTTACAGCCTCGGAAATCCTATACAGAGTCGCTATGAGTCGGAACCGACTCCACGGCATATAACCAGCAACAACCACCAAATCTTCATGGGAGCAGAAAGCCTTATCTTTCTCCCGCGGAACAGCTGGTAGTTTCGAACTGCTGATCTTGCGGTTCGCAGCCCGATTCGTAACCACAACGCTACCAGAGCTCCTTAAAACAAAGATGATGTTGTTGTTATGTGCCGTCGAGTCGATTCCGACCCATAGCGATCCTGTATAGGGTTTCCGAGGGTGTAAATCTTTACGGGAGTAGAAAGCCTCATCTTTCTCCCGCGGAGCAGCTGGTAGTTTCAAACTGGGTTGGAGTCCTGCTGTGGCGCTGCAGGTTAAATCGCTGGACTGCACAGTCATTTGAACTGCATGGCCAATGGTTCAAGCTCACCAGCCACTTCTCGGAAACCCTATACAGGGTAGCTATGGGTCGGAATCGACTCGACAGCACATAACAACAACACAACAGACTGGGTTAGTCCGATACACAGGTGTGGAAATCTGAGACAGCTGAGAAGGGCCAGGGATCGGCATCCCTCACCTGCCGGACACCTCCCCTTAGTCAAAAGGAGCAAAGTTCTTTGGGAAATGTAGTCTTTAGCTTTTGAAGCGACTTCTTCCATAAGTCGAAGAGCCAGGAAGCTGGGGAATAAGCAGTGAAGAGGAAGGGTTATCAGACAACTAAAAAGTGTCGGGAGCTCCAGAAGTGGATCTAAGCCACTCACCTGAGTCCCCCAACACCAGCACCTTCACCCGATCCAAGGAAGCCATCTTGCCACTCCTTCCCTGGTTAACGCCTGTTCCGGGACTCTAGGCCAATCATAGCTGTGTTTGGAGAGCCGAGCCTTCAATTTCATTGGCCAGTCAGAGTGCGATTATCCTAATTGAAAGTTTTACTGTGCTGATTGGCTGGTTTGGGTAAATGTAGCGTATAGGCTCCAAAACTGGTCGCAGGAATAAGGCGTTTTCATTGTCGCGCAGGTGGCGTGCTAGTTTAAGCCGGTAGATGAGGCACTGGGGGAAGCTGTAGTAGGAGTGTTCGAGGATTCTCTTCGGTAAACCTTGTTCCCAGATCCTTGTTCTCGGTTCCTTGGCCCAGCGTGGCATTTCAGGCTTTCTTCTCCGTTTCATTCTCCCACCTTAACTATCCTTTTCCGTAGCTACCCTCCTGATTTGGTGCTCTTGGTCCTTCAAAGAACCATTGACCCTGGAGCGGCCCGTGTGCGACCTCGGGTATGGCTGCGCCGAGTGTGTCCACTGGACTCAGAGTCTTTGGGAGTTTGGGATTTCGGGGTCTCACAGAGGGGAGGAGTGAACTTTACCGAGTGGGTCTCGAGGAGGGCAGCTGGGTCTGGAGGTTTTGCAGCAGTTCCCTTTACATAGGAAAGCGTGGAGAGTGCCGTGAAATACTGCAACAAAAAACCGCAGTTAAATGTATATAACTCCGGTTCATCGAGAAGTGGGATGAATAGTATAAAACGCTGAAATAATCCAGCACTCCCCTATTCTTTCCTTTCTCCTTTTCTCCACCCTACAGTCAACGTGGTCTTTTTAAAATCGCGAATTAGATCCTGTCATTCCTGCTCAAAACCATTCTAAATTTAACACGCGGGTGTGCAATACCTTGTCCTTTTCTATTCTGGAAACCAGAGTGAACCAATGGAATTGGGAAGCTGGTAGGGTGGACATGTTGGAAGAACACGTGCCTAGGAGATCTATTGAAAGTTTGATGTCTTTAACTAGCTATGCTGGATGCTGCGGACTCAATGATCAACAAGATAGTCCCTACTTTCAGCCTGTTGTTTTGGGGAGTCAGGATAGATAGACATGGAAAAATTATAAGACTGTTCGGTACAACTAAAGAAAAGGGAAAACAGTTATTAAGAGGTTTGGGCTAGAGGCAACAGCTTGTGAAAAGGTCCTCAAGTACAGAAGCCATGTGTGACTCATGAAGTTGAAAAAATGCCGGTGTGGCTGGAGATGAGGCTGTCAAAGACAGGGCAAAGAGAGCATTCTTTCAAGTCAGCTTCTCTGGTGCTGAATTCGTCGTCGTTAAGTGCCGTCGAGTTGATTCCGATATAGAGCGACCCTGTATAGTGTTTCCGAGGAGCAGCTAGTGAGCTTGAACCGCCAAACTTGCGGTTCAAACCGACTTTGCAGCCCAGCGCATTAACCCAGAGCGCCACACCAGGACTCCAGTTGATGTTGTTAAGTGCTGTAGAGTCGGTTTCGAACCATAGTGACCCTGCATAGGGTTTCTGAGGAGCAACTGGTGAGCTTGAACCGCCGACCTTGCGGTGGTTCAAACCTACTTCGTAGGCCAGCGCATTAACTCAGTCAATAATTCTTATTATGAATTTTGGAGGCCCTGGGTGGTGCAAGCTGTTAACGTGCTCAGCTGCTAATTGAAACGTTGGAGGTTCAAGTCCACCCAGAGATACTTTGGGAGAAATGCCAGGCAGTCTTATGTTTAAAAAATCAGCCCTTGAAAACCCTGTGTAACACAGTTCTACTCTGTCATACCTTGAGTTGTTATGACTTGAAGAGCAACTTGTTTTTGTTACGACTGCCAATACTTAATTCATTTCTTTGTATGTTGGCAGTCCTGAAAGTAGAGCACTTTATATGGATTATGTCATTGAGTCCAATATATCACCGCTATGAGGAAGGCACTGGTAACCACCCTTTATGTTTGAAAACACTTGAAATTGAGAATTTTCTGGGAGGGTAGTGAGATGGGGGTTTTTCAGATAAAAGGCAATAGACTGAGTAACAAGTGACAGATGTCCATTGGCAGGGTATGTAATAGATGCTCTATTTGTCTGGAGCAGTGGTCAGTAACTCTTGCTGCATGTGAGAGGCACTTAAAGAGCTTTAAGAATGAGTGGCTGCATAATCTGGTCCTCTCAGACCAGCTGAAACAGAATCCTCGGGAATGGGGCTAAGGCTCAGTAGTCTTAAGATGCTTGCAAATGCTTCTGTTTTTTGGTGTGTGTGTGTTGGCTTTAGGTTTTAGTTTATTGATGAAGCCTTAACTAACATACACAAGATTCCTAGAACACATACTAGTTTTGATGCTAAACTATAACTATTAACTTTCAGTTCTAAATTTTTAAACGATTGCAGCTGGCTTTTTATTTATTTTTTTTTTATGTTTTTATTGTGAATTGCGTAATAGTTTACATGGGTAATATCAGTTTTACACTCATCGTTTCATTGCAATGATTACAATCTCCTGTGTGCATCATCATTCAACAGTATTTGAATATATTTTTATCCCTCCTTTTTTTTCTGGGGCAGGGGAGAGAAGGGAATGCATACAAAAAACACTCAGGAGTATGTAATCACTTAAACAACCAAAGGGTACATTCTGCGAGCCTGCCTCCTGGCCACCAGCACCTGGCTGCCAGCACACAGCCTTTCTCTTTCGATGAGTCTAGATCCTCAGCTAGATGCTTCTGTTTTTAAAGTCAGGTTAAGAACCACTGGTTTGGAGCATGATGAGAAGAGTTGAGGGTGAGTGGGGATAGGAGGTGTACAATATTAGAAAGTAAACTGGAAAGGTAGATTAGAGGAAGATCATAGACTATGCTACAATATTTATTATGTAGTGAGAGAGCCACTGAGGTGTCTGTAGATACATGTTCTATAAGAAAATGCTGAGATCTGTGTTTTAGGAAAGTGACTGCAGTGGCAAAGAAATGGTTGGTGGAGGCAGGGACATGTAATAATGAGATCATGTTCAGGACAGGGCCAGTGGAAAAGGACTATTGAAGAGGTGTCTGGGTTTTAGCAGACTACATTTGGGACGTTAAGGGAAAGATAAACAAAAGTTTGAAAGAAATGGAGAAAACTACTTAAATGTAGGATGTCCAGACATCTAGTTTGATTGAAACAATCCCAGTTTGTGCTACTCATAAATTGATTTCCTCTTGTTAATTATTTTTTAGCAATCCTGTTCTTTCTTAAAAGTCTCCCAGTTTGGACAATAAGTTTTATAAAGTTATCTTATTTAAATGTATTCTCAGGTTAAACATTTGCCAGTTTTGGTTTATTTAGCAAAAGAGCCACTGGAAACATGTTGAATACAATCAGCTTTTGATTACATTTGCTTAGGCTATACATACTAGCTATGACACGACAAAAACCAGACTAGGTGTACACAAAGAAAAAGTGGTTTTAACTGAAGCAGTGGGACTGTAAAGAGAAAACTTTAGCTGGAAAGCAAGTAGAAATTATTTCTTCAGGGAAATCCTGGATTATTTCTTCAGAAGTTTATGATAATTTGCATATTTCCTATCCAGGAAGGTTTCTGTTAGATAAAGGAACACTACACAATGTTGACATTTTAGCTGTAAGTTAGTCAGTGCTTGCTTAGTTATACTGAATCCTTCCCAGGCTTGAAAATGATAAGGGCGATGGCCTGTTGACTGTCTCTCTAAACTACTGTCAGTTTTCCTTGCTGTAAAGTTGCACAGTTTTTCTTTTTAAATTTAATGCATTTGAGTTGGTACTGACTCAGCAACCTTGTATACGGTTTTCAAGGAACAGCTGTTGAATTTGAATCACCAACCTTGCAGTTAGCAGTCCAGTGCTTATCCTCTAGTACCACAATTGAATTCTCTAGCTTGGCAATAAAGACTTACCCCTCTTTGATTCCAATCTTCTCTTTCTGTTTTCTTTTTTCCCAAATCATCTTACTTTCTACTTCATGATCTTCCTATTTCCGCAAGTCTCAGAAATATGCTAGCTTTTTGGTTTTCTTTTTGTTTCCTTTATTCTTGCTATTGTATTTCTTCTACCTGGAAGACCTACTCTCCCCCCAGTACATGAGCAGACTTCTCTCTGCTTATTGATATCCCTCTTTATCCTTTAGGGTCCAACTCAAATATTGCCTTCTACGTGAATCTTTTTTTGACTTTAACTTTACTTCTTCCTTTATACATATAAGTACTTTTTGTCATCATTATAATTTTATCAATTTTGTATTTTAGTTTTAGTTATGTGTATATTTCTTTGGCTTACCTTAATAGGCTAAGGATTAGAATTATGTATTTCTCTTTTTATTTTATGTTACAACCTACACATGGGGTACTTATTAACTGTTAATTGAATAGTATTTAGTTCACTTTTTGAGACAAAAGAGACAGAAATGGTCTCCTTGAACTCATGATTATTATAATTTTTGACAATTGTCTTGTCAGTCTTTGGTCTGTTGGATGTTTCTGAAGCCCATATGTTGTTTTCTATATGTAAAACAAACAAAAAATCCAAATTGGGTCCTTTTACAATGTGTAGACCAAATAGGAGAGAAGACTAAAATGTGCCCTGCTGTGCTGTGATACTACTATGGTGTTGAACCCAAGCATTTGGCTGTCATCCTGAGTGACAAGGAGGTTCTAGGACCCTAAGTTTGCATCAGAGGAGCTAAACCACTGCTAAGGGTTGGTGCCAATATATAGTAAATATATAGAGTGTTCCACAGCCTGTAATTACTAATTTAGTCACTCTCTGTAAATACCCATGAGAACTACATAACTATCCAGCCAAGTGTGCCATTCTGTCTCATTGGGGGTCTTTCTCTTTTTCATTGACTGTCCACTTTACCAAGCATGATGTCCTTCTCCGGGGACTGGTCCCTCCTAATAACATGTCTGAAGTACAAGAGACGAAGTCTCAATGGCCCTGGATTCTAAGGAACATTCTGGTTGTACTTTTTCTGACCTAGATTTGTTTGTTCTACTGACAGTCCATGGTACTTTTTTTTTTTTTTTTT